TTTGCTTTGATCATCAACTCCAAACGCATTATCAAACACATATTTGATAACATTTCTTAAGAGTCCGAGCAACATAAGATAGAATTGGCCTTATGAGGATAGTGAATTAGGTGTTGTAGGAGGAGTTCTTGCAGCCTCAGTACTTGAAAGTGAGAGTTCAGCTTTGGTAGTGCAGCAACAAACAAGGTTATGGGGACTCCATGATCCTGAAGAGTCTCTACACATTTGAGAAGGATCAACTTATAATTGTATAAAATTTATGTTTAATCGGACTCTTCGTAAGTGTCGAGGAATGCGTTCAAAGTATAGACCTAAGTTGCTCAGGCGCTTCAAAAATGACGATATGTGCATGTCAAAGATTCTAAAGAGTCTAACACATTTGAGAAGGATTAACTTATAGTTGAATAGACCTCTATGTTGCTTGGACTCTTCAAAAATATCGAGTAAGCTAACATGGCATGCACGCAATGTCAAAATGTAATTGTAGCTTGTGAGAAATTAACACATACTCGTGTCGTCACATTAAAATATAAACATTTAAAAACTAGCTCAAAAATACTATACATGTTTACACGATAAAAAAATTATACATTTTAAAATGTTGTTCAAAGCTTATATTATTTAAATCTCGAAAAGAACAGATAAAGTATATATACTCAACAACTTTTATGAAACAAAAATAGTTTTCAAGTGTGACATTCTTACATATTCGTTTTTCTATCCCACTCTAAATAAATAATATTTTCACTTATCCGTCAAACTCGAACCATATCTTACTAATAAATCTTAACTATAACATATCTCACTTATTGATATTCATATATTATTAACTTTGTAAATCTCCTTATTAAAATTTTTGACTGATAATTGCTAACTAAAACAAACCCCACCTATCTGACATTTTTATATTATGTACTTTGTAAATTTCCTTATTAAAATTTTTGACTTTGTCACCATTCGAACAATCTCCTCCTATCAAAGATATGATACTAAGTGTCAAGATTTACAAAATGTATAGAATAGTATTTACTAGAGATGTACATCCCCACATATATATTAAGAGAGTCAATCCAAGTTCTTAATTTCCTTGGGAAGTGTGAGGTGAGTTGTGAATTGTGGATGAAGGCCGTGAACTTAGGTTTACAAAATCTTTATAATCCCAACTTATATATTCTTCCTTTTTGTTTATTAATAATCATATCGCCAAAGTTCTTGGAATCAATAAAAAATATACAACTATACTTCTTGAAGAATTACAATTCAATGTCATTGGATGATCTCTCTTGCAAAAAATAACAAGTAAATTTATATGATATACATATAATATATACATAATATACTTGGAATGACAACAACAAATACTTCTCGTATTTCAATTTATATAACATACTTTTCTTTTAATTAGTCGCGAAAAAAATGATACATTTTTATATTTAAAAACTATTTAAGTTTAAAATCTATATTTTACCTTTGATAAGATGATTTATAATTAAATAAATATATCATTCATTTCAAACAATAAATTTCAAAAATTATTTTTTGTTTCTTATTCGATGTGTCAAGTCAAACATTATATAGATTTAGACACAGCGTATGAGGTTCTATAAAACAAAAATTCTAGCAATCCACCCAACCACACGAAGGAAACTTAGCATTTTTAGTTCCTCAAATATCAACAAATTAATATTTTGGTCCTTGCGACTTTTGAGGTTGAGCATATGTAATCTTTATTTGATTGATATGCGTATTTTTTATTCTTCTATTGATGTATCTCCATAAATTTAACGAATCATTAAGTATTAGATTATTTAACAATTATATGTTATGTTAAATTTATATTGTTAATTTATATTTAAGGTAAATATAGTTACAAAAATGGTCTAATAAATATAACATATTTCTTACGTGGGATTAAAACACAAATTTTAGTTAATTGAAAGTTAAATGTAGTTAACTAAATTATACAAGGACCAAAATAAAAACTTATTAGTGACTGAGGACCAAAAGTGTTATTTATCTATAAAAAAAATACAAACACAATAATATGTTCGTGCGCACTACATATAAATTTGAGGATAAATTCTTTTTAAATTGACTATTTGCTAATTTTTTTTAAGAAATATTTGCGATCAAGTAAATATGTTTCGCAAAGAAATAAATTGATTTTTTAAATTATTAATAATATTATATTTTTTTTATTTTAATCTATGTGGTATTGAAATTTTATTAAGAAATTGCATATAAAAACTAACTTTTTTTGTAATAATATTAATATTTTTAAAATTTTTGTAAATATATTATAAATCAGAGTAAATAATTAAAAATTTAAAATATTTTAAAACGTACAAAAAAAATTTATCTTGATCATGATATTGAATTAAAAAAAACTAACTTCTTTGTAATAATATTAATATATTAGAAATTTTTTATAAAAATATTATAAATTATAATAAATAATTTTAAAATATTTTAAAAAATACAATTAAATTTTAATTTAAACTTTTTTTATTGACTATCACATCAATTAAAACGAAAAAATATCTATAATCTCACCGAATTGAGGGTGGGGAATCATGTGAGATCTGAGACATATTATTTAGTTAATTGGTATTTTGCCAGCTATTTTTGTCATTTTCTATTTACTATTATTAATATTATTATTATTATTATTTTTATCTTATATTACAAATTATAATAATTATTTGGTTGTAACATGGACCTAATTTTGGAAGTATACATACATGCATGTATATTAGTGTACGGTTCAATTATTTTGCACCGTTTTTGTCCCATCTTCAATTATTTTGTATTTATTCCTACTCCATATATATATATATACTTTATAATAGACTTTTCAAATAAAAATAAAAAATATAATAATAGATAAGGCTATAAAGTTTGAACTACCATCGATTCCATTTACAAGTAAGATATATAATTTATATTTTTTATATTTTTAATTATTTTAATATAACTTCTGACTTTACGATCGATAATAAATAACATCTTTTATTGCAAAAACCTAAAGTAATTATCTCACACAAGCTAAAAAAGCAATATATCACTTTGAGTAACATTACACATTGTCAATGTATTTAACAAACGTGTATATATATAATATAATATATAGTATAATGCTTATATTTTTAAGTGAGTGGCTATTGAATCAATTTTTTTTTTAACAAAAATGTCATATTAATATTGTTGAACTTGTTATAACAGATTATTTACCATGAGTTATACTCCATTTAGTTCATCATTTTATTTAGCTTCTATATTGAAAATTGATTTTTCATTTTACTTCTTCATTTTAGTAAATTAAGAGAATATTATTACTAGTATTTTTTCTCATATTACCCTTTAATACTAAATAACTATATACGTAGCAATAGTTAAATTTAGAGTTTACTAAAGCAATAGATTTTTCTTTTAGTGACAATTGAGTCATTGTCGTTATATCCAGAATTGTTAAAATCTTTAGCGGCATTTATATTAATTGTTGATTATAAATACTCATATTACATTATTGTATTTACATCATTTATCTTATCTTCCGGATGAGATAAATTAGTCTCAAAATTATAATCTCAAAATAATTTAATACATGTACCAAACGATTCAATATTATACATAAAATAAGATGATATATCAAATATTAACATAATATAAAATCTTTAACATTTTGCCATTTATGTTTATGTTAATTATTCCTAGATATAAGTCTTTAGCGTAAGCCATCGCAGCTGGTTATCACTTTGACCAACATTACACATGCTTATTAATGACACTATGATTACTAAAGATTAAATTAATTAACTTTTTCTTTTGTATATAACTAATTGTTTTATCGATCAGGATCGTGATGAAATATTCCTTTATTTTTAATTAAAGGTTTTGAGTTTGCCGTTTCGATTTCGTGTATACAGAATTGTGTTTGTTAGAGAATGTTCTACCTCTCAATATACGACTTTCCTACCTGAATCCAGACTTAATCAGACTTCAATATAAAATATCGAATACTAGATGAGAAACCAAGAAATTAATAAAAACTAATTGCTTTACATTAAAGGTAATTAAGAAGGAAATTGTTTACTAAGCTAACTAACAAAACAATCATTGAAGTAAACCTATTTTATTAATTAAATGACAACTAAATTATTAATTAAATTTGATAGGATTAAAGAAAAAGAGAACATTGAATAGTTCCATGGTTTTAATTCCCCCATTTGGCCTACATAGGTGCCCGTGACACGACTACATAACTAATTATTTCCAGATCATCCAAATCATAAAATAATGTAAATCCCCCCTAGTTAATTATGATTAATATAATTTGACAATTAGTGATATTAATTAAGTATTTCAAACCATGTTACTAGTTTAATTTCTTCATATCATGAACAACCCCTCCCCCCCCCCCCCAATCTGAAAAATATGAAGAGAATATTACACACAATATAGAGTTACGGATAGACAATACGTTCGTTTATGAGTTATGTTTGAAATTCAATATATCAGTGTCGAAATGATGTGAAAAATTCAATATATCAGTGTTGAAATGATAGATATGTGTTAAAAGGGGTATGAACAAAGCTAAATATAGATTATTTAGAACTTAATACCCTTTCAGTTCAAAATTACAATATGTAGATTCTAGATTTGTCATTTTGCGCAACAAAAATTTTGCTTTTTATTTCAAATCCAACTTAAAACCGACTTTATGTTTAGCTTAGGGACTTAGAACCAAGAAATTAGAACAATCCAAATGTGTTCGCTTGTGAACTTGTGTCAAAATTTTAAACTTTACGCGACGTTAATCTAGATTTTAAAAGTCCCAATATGTATATACATCAAAATTATACTTTAAAGAAATTAAATACGAAATAACATATCAAACATATACACATAATACAAGTATATATATATATATATATATATATATATATATATATATATTATATATATATATATTAAAGTATACATATATATTAAAGTTTGAATTAATTTCTTAAAAGGAGGAAACTCTTGTATAACATTATAAAAAGTTCATATTGTGAAGCCCCAAAAATTTACAAGAAAGAGGAAAAAAACAAAAAAAAACAATACTTTTCACCCTCTTCCATTTTTTGAAAGAGAGTTTAAAGTACAATCTCCTCATCTTTGAGTACAACTTCCATAAGCACTCTTCAATCTCTCTCTCGTAAATTTCATTGGGCTTATAATATCCCCCTTTCAATCCAAATCTGCTACTATTAAATGCAGAGTGGAAAATAAATAAAAATAAAAATTATCTACAAATAATAAAAAGTAATAATAATAAAAACAAGAAAAAAGATTATTTTTTTAAAAAAAAAAACTTTAGTCTTCAGAGATAGTGGTGAGATGAGGTCTCCACACAACCACCTTGCCGCTCTTACTCCTCCGGTGAGATGATGACTTCTTTAATTTTGGCATTGTACTATCACTCGAAAAATCGCGATCACCATCGTTGATGGTGACGTGGCATTTCTTATTATTATTTTTTGGTAGTCTGTTGATTGAGGAGGATGTGATCCCGGATTTTTTCTTCTTCTCCGGGACAGAAGATGCGGGAATTAAGAAGTATATACTACCCCTTTTGAGCTCGGATTCCGGCGATAAGATCAGAATCCGGCGAGCCATTGTACCTTGAGAGCATGGTTTACTCAAGACATGATTAGGGTAATTTTTTAAAACTTCATAGGCTGTGATTGGACTTGTAATTTCTTCAACATGACCATTTAAATGTACAATACGAATTAAATCAAGTGCACCACAAGGAAGAACACAAGCCAAACAACACCTTAAACTATTTCCCATAATTTTTGATGAAATTAATCAAATCAAAGTTTTTTGTTGATAAGAGAAAAAATATAATGAATGAATATCCTTTTTTTGAATGTGATAACATTGAGTTGATTGGATTGGAAAGGGGCATGTTATATAGCAACAATCATACTCATGTGTGGACAAACAATAATGTGTAAAGAAATGACCAAAATACCCCTTTAGAAATAATCTAATTTAACTATAATTTGAGCAATAACTACCCGGCGAAGTCAAAAATTTAAATTTTATGCATTCTGAGTTTTATAGGATGGCGATTTGAAATGTTAAATATTCACTTTCTAGATTTTGAGTTTTATAGGATGACGATTTGAAATGTTAAATATTCACTTTCTAGATTTATTTTGTGTGTATATATTCCAGTAAAGTTTAACCTAAATATATAATTTGAGGCGAAGTCAAAAATTTAAATTTATGCATTTTGAATTTATAGGATGACGATTTGCAATGTTAAATATCCACTTTCAAGATTTAATTTGTGTGTATATATTCAGTGAAATTTAACCTAAATATATAATTTGAGGCGAAGTCAAAAATTTAAATTTATGCATTCTGAATTTTATAGGATGACGATTTGAAATGTTAAATATCCACTTTCTAGATTTAATTTGTGTGTATATATTCAGTGAAGTTTAACCTAAATATATAATTTGAATAAAAATGGTCCGATTCTATTGAACCCTTATATATGGATGATTATTTATTGTTCTCTTTTATTTAACATAAATAAATAATTTGAATAATAACAGGTTATCTAATGCATTTTAGCTCTTCTATATTATTCGTGGACTATTATACTAAAACAGAATTTACCTTATACACACTAGAAGAATAACGAGTAGAAGTTTTCTTATCTAACAAAATAAGAAAAAGTTTACAACATAAGTTATATGTAAATGCCTTTTAAGTAACCAAACTAATTTGTAAATAATTTAAGGTACATATAACTTGGAACTCTACTTAAATTACCAAATTTAGCACCTACCTAATAAACATATCAAAGCGTGTATATATGCTTATTGACCTACCAAATAAGCATAAATTAATTTGTTTAAATATTAGAAAAATACAAATTTGTATCATAAGTTACGATCTTTAACTTCTGATTGCTTGATATTTCTCTTGATTTTTACCATCAATATTGAAAAGTAATTTAGGACGTACTATCATTGACAGAACTAAAGATTAACTTTACGAGTTCACGGGAACACAATAATTTTTAATAAGGTCATATTTTATAAATATATTTATTTGTCAAACTAGTTCATTCGACATTATCGTAATAACTAATAATACAAAAATTTCACATTTTAAATCCGTCTATACACTAATAGGGATATTTATGGAATTCATAATTTTAGGAGGAAAAAGATTAGTTTAATAAATTAAATTAAATTAATCCTAGTGTTAATAACATTCAATGGATCCCAACTGCAAGTCACCGTGAATATAGGCATTACAACTCTGCAGTCAGTCATTGGGTACGGAAAAAGGAAAAAATAAATATCTTCTTTTTTAAAAAATAAATAAATATCTTCTTTTTCTTAACAAAAAAATAAATAACTTCTTTTTAAATAAATAAATAAATAAAATAAAATTGCAACTGTTCTCTGACGTATACTTGTTTTTTAAAAATTAAAAATAAAAGTTAAGACGATTTGTAATATAAATAATCCTTAATTATTCCAAAGGGTTTAATTCTAATTAAAGATTGAAATCAAATAATCTGATTAAAGATGGGATCAGTTTGAAAATTTGAGCATCTTGGTCTTCGAGTAAAATGGTGAGATATTTTTTATTTGGGTTTCGATTAATTTAAATTTATACGTGTAAAGATCACTAAGGGACAAATGCTATTCTTTTTTAGAAAAATAAGTGTGTTTGTTATTTATTTACTTTTATTCGATTTGTAAGCAAAATTTCCAAAACATTATACTAAAAAATCAATTGTATATTACGTTATTAAGTATCAATGTAAAATGACACTAATAGAACGTATTTTTTTCTACTTTCGCTAAAACCTTTTTTTATTTTTAAAAAACATATTTTTTAAAAAAATTAATTATTTTGTATAAGAATTAACCAATAAAATATGAAAAAATTAAATTCCATTAAACGTATAACCCTAAATAAAAATTAAAAATATATTTATTCCGCCACACATCTTATTAAATTAGTAAGGATGAGAAGATACTTCGAATAGTGCAGGTTCTAACAGATTTAGCAGTTAAATAAGACTAATTTATTAAATACTTATTTTTAATTATAGCTCTTAAATATATTTATCTATTAAATCCCAAACCAATCAATCAGAGCAAATCACTTAATTTTCTTGCATCACTAATGAGACTTGAACCTTTATTTCCTATGATATATTATATTTTCGTTCGATTGGCCATGAAATCATAATATTGTTTGTTAGTGTTCGATACGTTTTCTATCATTAAAAAATGTGATTGAATGAATAAAATTTGATTCCTTTACTCTTAATTAAAATTTCTAAATTTGAATTTTGAGAATGTAGAAATTTCTAGTAAATTTTTTTTTTAAAAAAAATAGACTCTATAAAATATGAATCTGAAATGGTTGAACGGTTCATTTCGCAATATCAAATGATGTTTACAAAAAAAGTGTTAACATTAATTTTTACTTCAAACCATAGTTAAATATCATACATGATTTAGAATTGCACCTTCAATTACAAGTGAAAGTGTCCACTTTTTTTTACTTTGGTTCTCAAAATAGGGGGAAAAACAACAAATGTTGCACCTCCTTTATCCAGCATTACATCTTTTTTTATGGCTGAATTCAATATTATTGTTGTAGCAAAATCATACAAAATCCCATGTTTCACCTAGCTATAGTTACCACTATATTTCATTGAATTTTAAATTATGTGCTATTAATAGTGTAAAAAGGAAAAAAAATTATATTACTACTATAGTTTAATAGATACTTATGATATGATTCTTTCCTAAAGTCATGTATAACGAAAGTTTAATGCATTGAACCTGCCTAATAATATTTTAATATGTTAGTCTTATTTTAGCATAGTTAGTATTTATCATAAAAGTTTACTTAAAATTATCTCTTATAAATGATCTTAGTATATGAATGTTTCTTATTCTGGTTGGGAACAAGTTATTTCACGATAAGTTATCTTTGGATTAGTTATTTTGGGATAACTTATCTCACCATGTATATCTGATAACTTATCTGATCATTGTGATATAAATAGTGGGATAAATTATTTCAAACATGTCAATCAAACAAGATACATAAATTTTATCGCATCACTACTTTCTTATCCCATCATTATTTATTTTTATCACATGTCAAAACGATCCCTAAAGTAATTTTCATTTATTCAATTAGTATAATTGATGTTAATATACATCAAACAAAAGTTGTGATATAGTTGCAAATATTTCTTCATTTTTACAAGTTCGAATACTATTTGGTGCAAGATCGCCTTTATTAGCTAGAGACTGAACCACTTTAGCCTTAATATAAGACTTATTAGTATGAATTCAAACAGCCGACGCTTAACACACACATCCCACCCCACCCCCACCCCACCCCCCACCTTTTTTAAAAAGAAAAATAATCTCAAATGTTGTGGTGAGTAGTGACTTGTGTTTTAAACTATAGTACATCAAGTACTACATGGAAGTTGAACAAATTGTGACAATTTGAACCATTATTAATTGAAAACATAAAAATTGGTCATTCAATTAGTCCAAGAGTCATCTAATTACTTTGTTCAATAAAGTTAATCATTGGATTTGTTGTCAAACCGATAAATTCGCAAAAATAATCGTTAGGTTTTAAGGAGTTTATATGGGCATAGTGCTACGAGCCCATCTCCAATAAAAAAATTAAACAATTAAATAATATATATATATATATATATATATATATATATATATAATTAGATTACTTGTAGAAAGATTACAAATATATCTTTATGCCATGCTTATTTTCGCATTAGCATAATTTATTAGTATTCTAATTTTTAAATTAAAATATAATTTATTGTTAAATAAGGTTATAAACTTATATTTTCTTTATTAAGAAAAAATAAAAATAAATCATCTTTATTGCTATGTTGAAACTTGTTATAAGAGTACTATGTTATATTTTTTATTTTGAATTTATAACTTAGGTTATATTTTCAGTTACATTTGTTTTAGTAATATTGAATTAACATTGCACGTCAACTTTTAATTAGATTTGATAGATTATCAAATATTTAATAATTTATGATATTTTATTTATATATTATTTTTTTATGAAACATGTATTTTACGATGTCCGTAGAAACTTCATCCTTCTAGTTGTTACAATCAATTCAACTGAAATATATTAATTTAAAATAATATAAATCAATTACTTTTTCCTAATATTATTTACATAAATAGTTATTAATTAATATATTTCCAAAAAAGAATATATATCTTAAACATTTAATTTAGTATCATAAGTAATTACAATGTGGCAATTAAACATGTCAATGTAATTATTAGATAATATAATTACTAGGCTGATAATTACGATCCTACTAATTATACCAATTCCAATCAGATAGGTGATTTGTAGAAATTTTGAGTGTGACATCTAATATGTATTTATTTAATTTTTTTTGTGTGAATTTTGGAAACTTGTGATACTAACCAATTATGCCAATCTAACTATGATTTACCTAAATCTATCTAGTTTATCACCACCTAGATTTAGATTTTAGTTCGTGTGGATAATTAATTATGCCTCTTAATATTGATTAGCACGTAGCTTCTTAGTACTTACGTTTTTGGCACCAACCACAGCTAAAATGAGCTGATTAATTAAGGTTTTATGAGGTTGTTGGGTTCATTGCATATATAATTAGGTGTAGTATTAATGATTAAATATTAAATTAATATTTCATCTGTATTATATTACTTGACCCTTGTTGATCAGATACCTCCTAAAAAAGCTTTAATTAGAAGAATAGTTACTAAATCAACCTTATTAATAATGTTTCGGAACACTAAATTTGATATTATTTAAAAATAGCTAGCTACTATTTATT